AGAATACAAACAAATATCAATCCATTTATAAGCATTTCCAAATAAATTTAAAATAAAAATTATTTAAATTTAAAGTAGATATTAAAATAATATAATGTAGTATTTTGTGTTTTAAATAAATATTTTAGTCAATTTATTTAAATGAAATATGATTCATTTTGTTTTACAATTTATTTTGAATTGATCTATAACGAGAGAACAAATGATACATATTTTATAAAAAAAAAAAAAGAAAATAAATCATCTATCACATAATCTACTTCATTCTAATAATCTTCAGGTTCAATTTACTAAAATTCTATATAAAGTGATTTTACATAAATAATGCTTTACAAAAATTCATGTCAAATACTTAAGGAATGCATTCAAGCGCGCAGCCTGGCCTTAGTAACTTATAAGTTTATCTAATTATCAACTTATAGGAGTATTTATTTACATGAAATTTTCATTAACTGAATTATTTATTTACATGAAATTTTCTGTATATTATTTATTAATTTAAACTCCATCGGTTCATTGTATTAATTTGTAAACTTTATTTTGACTCACACATCGTTTTGGGCCTGGTCCATGGTTTAACCTTGTTGGTTTTGCGTTCTTCAGCCAATTAATACATCACTAAATTCATTGATAGTTCTTTCTTACTGTAGTCATCCAGCGAGAGGCCCATTAACCTGCAAACTTGACCCATCTCTGTTTTTCACCAATTACAGTTTTCGTGTTGATCAATCTTAATTGGGTTGACGTCAATTAACCTGTGGGTTGTAATGTTTTGAATTAAGAGAAACTAAAGAAAGAAACATCAACTTTAGTTACTTGCACACGTTCTTCACCTGTGATTATTGTTGGATACTAAGTCATCAAAAACTCCAAACACATCCACATTTTAGTAACATGTGATAGCTTTTGGTGGAAGAAGACGCATGTCCCCTCAGTAAACCAAGAGACCTTATTGTTCAACTTGGCATTGTGTAGTTTCCTCTCAACCATCCCATGTAACTCACATGTTTTTGCAACGACGAGTATTTTAAAATGCTAATAACCTTCTAAGTTCATCAATGTAGAAAACCATATTCCACTTATATGGACCTCCTCACCTAAGTACAAAATGTGATAGAACTTCTCACCTATCTCCGAACACTTAAGATTTCAAAAGTAGGAAGGTACACACCCCAGTTAGAATGCTTCACCGCATCTTCCCCTTGAAGGCAAGATATAAGACTAACGTGTTCAGTGTGAGACATAACATTTCAAACAGCAAAGCAGCGAGGATATATCCTAATATCGAGAAATTCAACTAGCTTTAGAGAGTCAAGAGACACTTTAAGACTCAAACCTGAATTCATTGATTATTTAGAAGGCACTTTGCAAGGCCTAGACACACAAACGATGATAAGTTTTAAAAGAGAAAAGAGACATTGTTCATTTTTGATACGAAACAGGGACAAGAGACTTAAAAGCCACCACGGAGACGCAACACCAAGTGAAGGGTCGACTCTTTCTGGATATTGTAGTCGGCTAAGGTGCGACCATCCTCAAGCTGCTTTCCAGCGAAGATGAGACGCTGCTGGTCTGGAGGGATCCCTTCCTTGTCTTGGATCTTGGCCTTCACGTTGTCAATGGTGTCGGAACTCTCCACCTCCAGTGTGATGGTCTTACCAGTCAAGGTCTTCACGAAAATCTGCATGCCACCACGTAGACGCAACACCAAGTGAAGGGTTGACTCTTTCTGGATGTTGTAGTCAGCCAAGGTGCGACCATCCTCAAGCTGCTTGCCAGCGAAGATGAGACGCTGCTGGTCTGGTGGGATTCCCTCCTTATCCTGAATTTTCGCCTTAACGTTGTCAATGGTGTCGGAGCTCTCAACTTCAAGAGTGATTGTCTTACCGGTGAGAGTCTTCACAAAGATCTGCATGCCTCCACGTAGACGCAACACCAAGTGAAGAGTCGACTCTTTCTGAATGTTGTAGTCAGCTAATGTACGACCATCCTCCAACTGCTTGCCGGCAAAGATCAAACGCTGCTGGTCTGGAGGAATACCTTCCTTGTCTTGGATTTTGGCTTTAACATTGTCGATGGTGTCTGAGCTCTCCACCTCAAGAGTAATGGTCTTTCCGGTGAGAGTCTTCACAAAGATCTGCATACCTCCACGTAGACGTAACACCAAATGAAGGGTTGACTCCTTCTGGATATTGTAATCAGCGAGAGTTCTGCCATCTTCAAGCTGCTTGCCGGCGAAGATCAACCTCTGCTGGTCTGGAGGAATACCCTCTTTGTCTTGGATCTTAGCTTTGACGTTATCAATAGTATCAGAGCTCTCCACTTCCAAAGTAATGGTCTTTCCCGTCAAAGTCTTGACAAAAATCTGCATACCACCACGAAGCCTTAGGACAAGATGTAAAGTAGACTCCTTCTGGATGTTGTAGTCAGCGAGAGTCCTTCCATCTTCCAACTGCTTTCCGGCGAAGATCAACCTCTGCTGGTCCGGTGGGATCCCCTCCTTGTCCTGAATCTTAGCCTTAACATTATCGATGGTGTCAGAGCTCTCCACCTCAAGAGTGATCGTCTTTCCCGTCAACGTCTTGACAAAAATCTGCATACCACCACGTAGCCTGAGAACCAAGTGAAGGGTCGACTCCTTCTGAATGTTGTAATCAGCCAAGGTTCTGCCGTCTTCAAGCTGCTTCCCGGCGAAGATGAGCCTTTGCTGATCCGGAGGGATCCCCTCCTTATCCTGAATCTTGGCCTTAACGTTGTCGATAGTGTCAGAACTTTCCACCTCAAGGGTAATGGTCTTCCCGGTGAGAGTCTTCACAAAGATCTGCATCTGTAATTAAAAAAAAAAGCCAAAGATTAATACTCATACACAGAGATCGCTTCAATTCACAAACACAAACCCTAATAATCAAAATCAACAAGAGATCTATCAACTCAACAAGCCGACTGATATAACCGATTCAATTTCGACGAAGAAACCTTAATAAAATCGAACCCTAACAATCAAAATCAAGACGAGATCTATCGGCTAATCACAACTATAACCGATTCAAATTCAAAGAACAGAGGATCATCAATTGCGATTGAACAAAGCTTATTAAGATCGTAATCGAACAAGACGATTCCTAATAAGCAAAATCAACAAGAGATCTATCGGTTAATCTCAAACTGCGATAACCTATTCAAATTCGAAGAACAGATGATCGATTAACGATCGAAAGAAACAGCAAATCGAGAGAAGAGGAAGAAACAAGAATCAAACCTTGATTGTAATTCGCTAGAGAGAGATTGGAATTGAGAAGATTGTTTTTCAGATTTGTGAAGGAGAAGAGAGTGTTTTTTTTTTTTTTGGTCAAATGGAGAAGAGAGTGTTTAGGTTTTGATTTATAGAAGAGGATGAGGAAGACTCGGTCACGAGAAAGCTATGGCGGTGAAGTAATAGCGAACGAGAGTTTGACACGTGTATTGGGCGTTGTTTACACGCAACCTCTTTAATGGAAGATAATCTTTTCTTTGCCTTGATTTTAGGTGCAAGGAAAAGTATATATATTTTGTGCGTTGAGTTGATAACCCACGACCGTCTCCGTGTGTTGGCTGCATTCTATTTTAACGCCGTTTCTTTACTAACTCGTCGACAGCCACTGTTTCTAACGCCCGTAACGGAAGCCGAACGTTGTGAGTTAACGGATCGTTATTATCTTTCTTTTCTTTTTTGATAAACGGTGGAGCTTACAAATGCCAATTATTGAAACGTGGGTCCGACTCGGTGGGTGCTATTATCTTTTTTTTTTTTTAGTTTTCCTTTTTTATGCAAGTGGGGTGTTTAATTTTGAATTTTAAAATCAAGGAAATTTCCTGAAAATAACATAATGTTTTTGACTTTTAGTGGTTTTGGATATTTGCATGATTGTGGTATCAAGTTGGCCAGTTTTTTTTTTGGAATTTTAAAATAAAGAAATCTTCCTGAAAATAACATAATGTTTTTGATTTCTTAATGGTTTTGGATATTTGCATAATTTTGTATCGAGTTGGCAAATAGGTTTGAGGCAATGGACTTGGTATATTATTGTCCAAAAAAAAAAGACTTGGTATATTATTAGTTAACTCATACATCAAAACGGACCTCGTTTGGGCCTAGCCCATATTTAAGATATCGGTTTTTTTTTCTGGCAGTACAAAATATGCGGTTGAACGAGGAAGTTTTACTGAACAACACGTATTGATTCTTCAGATTGTTTTTGGCAAGAAGTGTAGCTGTTTCTATTAGATGTTAGTTTGAAATTTGGTTAGATATAGGACCTATGTTCTTGTCTCCTTTTGATACCAGTTTATGAATTTGGCAGATTATTAATCCCCTAGACATTATTTACCATTATATGCAGGATGAAGTCATTGGATTCAATGATAATAACCATTAACTCACTTACTTCTCCTTTGCCTCCAAGCCCTAGAATGTTCTTCAGGAACATGCCCGAATCGATCATCATTAGATAATGTTTTGATCACTATTGCCACTCCTTTTTGAGTCTCTTGCTTCTTCACTCGGAAAAATAACCTCAAATAGGTTCAGCATCTATTTGCTTCTTACAATACACGCAACATTCTAGATTTTTAAGTTTATGGATACAAAAAGTATCCCAATTAATGTGTCTGGAAGTGAATTCCCTTGACATGAACAAGCTTTAACCATTTTGTTCAACCAATAATTTTCATCTGATTAAAAAAAATATCATCTTTATACCTCTTTATTACTATATACTGTATGCAATAATATAAATAAATTTTTGGATAATCCGATCCAAAAGTATTTTTAAAGACTATACAGAGCTCAGACTGAAGTGTGGTTGCCTCTTTCGACAACACGTTCCTCTTTTTCAGATCAAATGTTTTCTTATTTAGTAATGTCTTAAGATCTTCCTAAGCACATACTTGCAAAAAGCTGTGAAAAAAGGATGACAGTTATGGAAGATAACAAGAAATAAACTTGAAGAAAATAAGCTGGATTAAGATCCACCAGAAACACTTCCATTGAAAATTTCAATTGTATCACCGTTATCAACACGGTGCCACCGGAATGACCGGTCATCCTCCATAACATTCTGTTTGTATATAAAGAAATAACCTTCTTGAGGCAAAGTTAACTGAAACCTCTGTTGAACCTTAACCAGCTCCTTCCTCAGCTCTCCCACGTTATCACTCGCGTTAACCTCCACCGGTATCTTCATTGTCCCACTTTTAGGCAGCACCATCACTCTCAGCTTCTTAGGGTGGTTATTGTTGTTGGTCCTAGGCATCATCACAGGCAAATCTTGACCGTTAATGATCTGTTCTGTTGAGTTTGACGGTGGAGATTGCTCGGTTTTGAGCACTTGATTGTTGCGCTGTTGATCTGTGCCTGGAGAAGAGCTGATAATCTGTAGATGAGAGTTGTTGAGGATTGCACATTGTTCAATGTCGTGATCGTCTTGAAGAACCTTGCCTTGGAAGAAAAGGGTTTGTTTGGAAACAGGGATACGTTGATACTTTTCGATCTTTTGTTTGATCTCTAACACTGTGTCCCAGTAACCTAGTTCAATGCAGAACGTTGGGCCTCTTTGTACCTCGAAGTACACATCCATATTGAGATATCTACTGGTGTTTCAAGATCAATGGAAACTGATGACGAAGAGGAAAGTGAGATTTTGACGTTAACTTCGGAGTTTTTGTAACGACAATTTCCTCATTATGTGTTAACTGCATACCTATTTTCATGGATTACTTTTTTGTCATTTTTACTTTATTTTTTTTGTTCTTTCTCAATTTGCTAAATTCGAAAATGCTTATCCTTCGTTTTATCTTCATCGTCTTTAGTCTTTACTTCCTTTTTCATGACAACAACATTACTAGAATACTTTCTTTTTATAATAATTCCCCCTTCGTCAATTAACTAACTCATCGTATTATTTGGGAAATACAACAAACAGTTTTACTTTTTTTTTTCCTTTTGAACATATGACCATGAAAAATTGTTCTACATATACAATAATTTCCTAGTAAGATTACCATGTTTTAAAGGAGACTACCTCCAATAATTTGAATAAAATTATTTTAAATTGTTTTTAATTTAGATATATAGGACTATCATAAACTAATATGTACCGTATAAACTCTATAGTTAATAAATGTTGTTAAAAAAAACTCTATAGTTAATAGATAACCTAAGAGAGAACCATAATGTTCACGATCAAAATGAACATTACAGAAATTATTTCTATGAAAAAATGATATTGTGCTAAAGTTATGGTTTCGGTCAAACTCTAATAGTCATCTAATAACTGTTCTCTCTATTTATTTCTATGAAAAAATGATATTGTGCTAAAGTTATGGTTTCGGTCAAACTCTATAGTCATCTAACCACAATGTTGACGATCAAACTCTATTTTCATAGTTTCCGTCAAACCTAAGAGAGAACCATAATGTTCACGATCGAACTCTATAGTCATCTATCCATCTTCTGGTCGAGTAAATCTGGTATCTACTAATAATGAAAATCCTACCAACTCAAGAATAAATCTGACTTAAAAAACTGGTATATGTCAAAAATAAAATGTGTTTGAAGGAGACATAAAGGTGTATGTGACTTAAAAAACTTGTAAAACTTCAAAATTTGATTAAGTGTAAAAATTAACCATTTTGTTTCATAAAGAGTCATTGCGACAATTTTCACACAATTATGAAATTAACTAGATCTTGACCCGCACAACCGTGCGGGTATTTTAATACGAAAATATTTGAAATTATATAATATTCACTCCGTTTTAAATAGATGATGTTTTAAAAGGTTTATTTTATTTCAAAATATAAGATGTTTTGAGATTTTAAGGTATATTTTGAGGTTTTAAAGTTATCTTTAACTTTATTGGAAACTGTTCAACCGATAAAATTTTACTCTTTTTAATATTTAGTTGAATGATTATAAAATTACATCTTTAAAAATACTTTTGTAAAAGAATGTAAATTTCTTAATTTTTGTGCAATGATCCAAAACATCATATATTAAGAAACGGAGGGAGTAAAATTTATCAATAAATAAATATAATTTGATTGTATATACTATCCAATGATCATAAATAATATTTATGTGGCTTATAATAATATTAGTTTAAAATTTATAAATTTGTATTTTTGTAACAATTTTTTAAAAACATTATTATGTAACATTACTAATTTATATATTTTTTATTTCTAAATTTTAACTGTATATAAAAAAGTAAATTAAATTGGACTTACATAATACATAAACAAAATTTTGGGATATTGTTAAAATTATATTAAATAATTTTAATTTTTTTTTATAAATAAAAAATGAATTAAAATTTTAATTATATTCTATGATAATTAAATTTTTAATCAAGTAATATTTGAAACTATACCTTGAAAAGATTCTATAAGATTTTTAAAAGATTTTGTTAGAATTTTCTTCATATTATTGATATGTATTTCAAATAAAAATTAAAGATATGAAAAGATAGTATAATGATGTTATGTAAAATTTTATAAAATTTCTAAGGATGGTCCAAACTAAAAAATCATACATGAAGTAAGTCATGATTTTTCTTTTAATATAATAAATTGAAATGCATTTCTATTTAATCAAGAAGATTTGAGATAATTAAAATCAATGTATTTGATAATTAATTTTAAACTTAAAATATGTATATATTGGAAGTCTAAACTACAGTGACATCTTTTGTGTATTAAGAAAAAGTAGAAAAGTGTCATTTTATGAAATAGAGGAAATAGTAAATAACTAGATATCATGACTTTAGGTTTAGAGTATGAATTTGTTAATTAGACATTATAAACATTGATTTTTTTTATACCAAAGTTATATTAATATTTTGTGGTGGCTCACACAAAAAAAAAAATCCACTTTTAAGTATATTAGTATTTGTGTGAATTTGGTCAGAGGCTCAAAATAATTTTTCAAATAAATTATGTAATAGATGAATATTGAGTAATAATGGTTTTGGCTCATCTATACTGTGATTCCAAACAAATCAAGAACTCCCATAACTACACCTCTTTATGTTTGTTGTGATTTTGCAAAAAAAAAAAAAAAAAAAAATGAAATCAAAACATAATGATTTGTAACATAAGTTAGTGATGGTGGTCTTCATTCTTTTTATTTCTATATAAGAGCTTCTTAGCTTTATAGATATAGACATACGAGCAAGCAACAAATCCCAATAGATTCCCCCATTTTGAATATTTTTTTTCTTGAATTAAGAATACATCCCAATAGATTCACTAATTAATTTCTATTCTCGGAGTGTTAAATTATAGCAAAAAAAAACCTATGGGACCATGAACTAATTTGTATATGACTAAAATATATTGTTTTTCTGAAATTGATAAGCTGAAAACCACTTCATTTCAATCACACTTACTAAATCTAAAAACAAGTATCTCAACAAAAGATAAATGTCAAATCAGTTATTTTAAGTATCTTTACCTTTACATTCACTCATATTCACAATAAATCATAATGTACGTTATTTCCAATATAACAAAATTAGTTGTTTAAAAAAGTTTAAAATATGGGACCATGAACTAATATGTATATGACTAAAATATAAAAGCTACAACAAGTTGTATTCAGAGGCTTTATACGATTCTCTCGAAAACTATATAAAAAGCAATAACTAACAAAAAAGTGTTTTACATGCATTGTGTTCACTTTACGTAACCTGATTCTTTTCTTCTCCATACACTTCAAGAACTATTTCACTTTTCTCTTCTTCATACAAAATCCCCACACACTCCAAACTTTCTTCCTCAAAACTCCTATACATAAAAAAAAACATCCTAGTATACTCAAAGCACGAAATGACACCAGACCGGTCAACTATCCCGATCCGGTCCAGTCCCGGGGCTCAAACTCCCCGGGCTCAAACTCAACCCATGAAGCGTCACCATTCGGCTAGCTACTATGCTCACCGTGTCAAAGAAAGTCTCTCAACCCGAATATCCAAATTCATATGCGCAATGGTTCTCTTGGTTCTATTCTTTATAGGCATCATTGGTTTCATCCTCTGGCTCAGCTTACGCCCTCACCGACCACGGTTCCATATCGAAGACTTCGCGGTCCAAGGTCTAGACCAGCCTACTGGATTCGAAAACGCAAGAGTTGCTTTCCAAGTAGACATATATAACCCTAACCAACACATGGGTGTGTTCTTTGATTCCATGGACGGTTTCATCTTCTACAAAGATCAACGGGTCGGGTCAAGCCCATTGCCAAGCCCGTTTTTTCAGCAGCCGACTAACACAACGATAGTCAGAGGGACGCTTACAGGAGCTTCCTTGACGGTGAATAGTAACCGTTGGACTGAGTTTAGTAATGACCGTGCTCAAGGGACAGTGACTTTTAGGCTTGATATAGTTTCAACGATTCGGTTTAAACTGTCTAGGTGGATTAGTAGGCACCATAGGATGCATGCTAATTGCAATATTGTGGTTGGACCGGACGGTTTGATCTTGCCAAAGTTTAACCATAAACGTTGTCCTGTCTACTTCACTTAGATTGATTTGATTTATTAATTTGTTACTGTTGTTGTATCTTTTTTTTTGTTTTAACTTTTCGTTTGATTTTGCTTTCTTTGGTTTTTGTAATTTGGATTTGAGAGTTTGTTTTTTTTTTCTCATCAGATGTATGTTCTTTTGAGTTAAATAATAAAAGAGAACACAAGATAAAGATTTGGTAAAAATACAAAAAAACTCATATAATTGGCATCTCTTCAACATATGACCCACAAATTTGAAAATTTTCTTGAGTTTAGTAGTAAATATAATAAGTTAGGGTTTCCTCTTGCTCAAAATCTTGGCTTCTACAATCTGCCTTCTCCATTGATGAATTGGTACCTGTAATTAGAACAGTTTTTGTAATAAGAAACAATGTTTTAAAAGCAAAAGCAGAATCCAGCTCTATTTTAGTCAGATACAGATTGTTTCATGTTTTTGTTATGAATGTTGAAAAAAATTGGAAGTTGAGAGGCACAAGACGAGGAGATAGAGATGCTTACAGCAGGAAAGCCACCGAAATCCCCTGGTTCTGTAATGCTTTTGGTGACACAACTATTTGCAGCTAGTCGAACCTATTAACCAAAAATCAAACATGATATAAATGAAGGCCGGACATAATTATTTAACTTGAGGGGAAAGCTACATCTATTCACCTTGGATACAACTGAGACATGGTCTCGAATAGCAACACGTCCTCCTAAAACTACATAGTCACCAATCCTATAAAAAAAAAAACAATTTTGAACAGACAAGATTTTGTAAGTTTTATTTCAACGGACTTGATAAAGCTTTTCAATTTTCAGGGTTTTAGAAGCATTTACTCTGCTGATCCAGCTACGCCTACTTGGCCACAGAGCATGCAAGACTTGCCAATAATCACATTGTGACCTATCTGCATCACAAGAAAGAAGAGAAATAATCTTCACTCTCATTTTACACTCTGGTCTATGGTGAGTTACAACTTACAAGATAGAATCTAAGACGCACCTGAACTAAATTATCTATCTTAGTATCATCCCCAATCACGGTATCTCTCCAGCTGCATAAATTTGTAAGGGTTGCGGAGAGCTAGTGAACACTCCTATAAGGAGTTTTTAAATGTAATATTCTGTTTACCTGCCCCTGTCAATGCATGTGTTTGCTCCAATTTCCACACGATTCCCTATCTTCACATTTAAGGCCTAAGGAGAGCAAGAAACCAAACAGGCAAACAAAGGATTACAAAGGATAATAGTGTTGTAAATAGTTCATTCAGATTTAAGAAAGCAATCCAGGTTTGCTTACTTGAGGCTTCTTCACCATGTTTCCGTTTTCATCCACGTAGAACCCAAATCCTGAAAAGTCAAAGACCAATCTCAATTCTCAGAAGATAGAGGAGTTACACTCAGAAGTTAAATGAGCTGGTCCATACCATCTTGGCCAATGCAGACTCCATTATGGATGACACATAACTCACCAATACTACAATTGTTGACTGAAACATTATACCTGTAGACAAAATCCATCATGTAGTTTCTTACAACATTTTTCCTAAAAACAAGCACAAGAAGTGTAGAACCAACAAAATGTTTACCCTATCTTTGTAGAAGGACCAATATTGACTGATGGTCCAACTACAGTGTTGGATCCTATATGAACCTCTGCACCCAATACAGCTCTTTCGTGAACTACAGCTCCAAACTCAACCAGAGCCGAGGAATCGATTACGGCAGAGGTATGGTATGTTCCTCCTCCATTTCTCCATCTTAGAAACCCTTTGTCAACATTACCTCCAAGACTTGTCTCTAATCTTTTACAATCACAAAAAAACCACAAGAGTTATCATCAATAGCTGATTACATAGCATGCAACTAAAAATTCACCATATTTGGGCATAAAAACATGACAAGCCTCTCAATATTGTAATTTCTTCAAACTCTGTTCATCTTGGCTTTTTAACTAACTGTATTCCTCATGATCATGCTGTATATTATGATGAACATACATGTTCCTTTTAAGCATCATAAACCATTATTTTCTGAAACTTATATTGAAGACATACCTTACAAATAAACCTGGTGTTCTATATATATGATATGAAACATGATCACTATCTAAATGCCACATTCAAAACTCTTAATATTGTAAGTTCTTCAAAATCATGCATTACATTTCATCAAAAATCTGTTCATCATGGCCGTTTAACTAACTGTATTCCTCTTAGCCATGCTGTAAAGGATCTTGAACACCTTCCTGACAAGCATCATAACATAGCATCTTATCTGAAACTTAACAAACACACATTTTCAGACCTACATTACACACAAATCTGGTGTTCTGTATGATAAAGAGAGGTCTCAGAAGAAAATTTTGCCACATGTTCTGTATATTATAAGACATGATTCACTATCTAAATACCACATCCAAGACTCTTAATATTGTAAGTTCTTCACAATCATGCGTTACTTTTCTAAAAAAAACCTATTCATCTTGACTTTTTAACTAACTTTGATCCTCATAATCATGCTGTAAATGATCATCAACATCTTCCTTTCAAGCATCATAACACAGCATCTTTTCTGAAACTTGATGAACACACATTTTAGACCTACCTTAGACACAAACCTGGTGTTATGTATGATAAAGAGAGGTCTCAGAAGAAAATTTTGCCACATATTCTTAAAGAGACCCAGTGTTCTGTATATTCTAAACATGATTCACCATCTTTGGACATATAACATGATTCACCACCTAAATGCCATATTCAAGACTCTTTATATTCATGCATTACTTTACTTCAAAAATATGTTCATCGTGGCCTTTTTAACTAGCTGTATTCCTCATAATCATGCTGTAAATTATCATGAACATCTTCCCTTCAAGCATCACAACACATCATATTTTCTAAAACTTAATAAACACACATTTCTAGACCTACATTACACACAAAATTGGTGTTCTTTATGATAAAGAGAGGTCTTAGACGAAAATTTTGCCATATATTCTTCTACAGACATTTCAACAAACACGTGGTGTGCACAACAACTATATGAGCCAAATGCAAACAAGAGAACTCGAGCAAGTTCGCAATGAGACTCACCCGTCACATGGAGAAGCAGTAACATTTGTTTGATCGGAGCAAACACTTAAATTTCGGTAACTAGAGAAAGAGCCAGGAAGGCTCTTCAAGAGGAGGCCATGACTGGAAGCTGAGAAAAGTCTCCGCAAGTTTGTCGCCATAGTCTCAACCCTAAATAGAGATAGCGACACGACCCAAGAGAAAAGGCTTTAAAGCTTGGAACTTTTTTTTTCTTGAACAAAAACTAATTATCTTACAAGGTTATAAGACAAAGGTGAAAGGTGAAAGGTGAAAGGTGTCCGGTGTGTTCAGATAATCAGGTGACGGCTCTGTTCACAAGACCGGCAAAAGTCAACTTAATGTAAGAAGACAAAACTAAAGGGCCTTAAAAGTCAACTTAATGTGGATGTTTGAAAAGTAAGCATTGACGTTCGGGTTTTCGGATCTTTTGATATTAAGATTTAGAAATTCTTCATGAATTTTTATATATTCGATCGGGTTTGGTTATTTCATGTCGTATTAGATGTTTTCTTGCATATTGTGCAGTGATAAAAATTTGAAATTTAAATTATATTAAAATAATTTTTTTTAATATTTTAAACTTTGTTATTATATATCAATATTTTAATATCATTTTAAATAAAAAATTATGATAGAATAGTACGTATATATTTAAAATTATAATCTTATATAAATTTTTCATTTATTTTCTTTGGATAAAATATATTAAATTAGCTTGAATAATATTATAAAATATGATATAAAATAGTAACTTAGTGAAAATAAAAATAAAAATAAACTGAATGTTTAAAATTTGTAGATATCAAAACGAAAAAAGGTATTAATTAGAAATTATAATTTTACAAAAGAAATTGTATAAAATTTTTTTTAGTAAAACAATTTGTAGGATTATAAAAATAGACTAAATAATATTTTGAAATTTGTAAAGATTTTATAGCTAATTAATTTTATATTTAAAAAATATTTTTTTATAATAATTATGAGTTATTATCATATTTTAAAATTTTACCAAAATTAAAAATGAACATCAAATGTAATTTACATTAAGTTATGTCATCTTTTCTACTATGTCATGTCACTTTTTTTATTTAAAGTGATTGTAACGATGACATATGATAAATCATTTCTCAAATAATGCATAAGAGATTATAAAATAATTATAGAATTATATGGGCATGAAGTCTCATTAAGTAAATTGAGATTAAAATATATATCTATTTTAATATTGCTTTATGTATACTATATAAAAATACATAAATATATAGTTTCCAATTTTGCTTTGAAAAAATATCGAGAACGTAATATTTAAAATTTGAACATCACATTGATTTTTAGAAATGATAATAAATTATTAAAACTATTAAACATCTTACAATTTGTTATCAATGATTTAATTTTTTATTATAAAATAAAAATATCATAAAATATGAGTAAAAAAATATATTTACAAGATAATCATATACTATATATCTATGTTAATTATTACAATTAATTATATACCATTAAATAATTGTAAATAAACAAGAATGATTGTTTTAATTTATGTAATCACACCAATTTAGTTGTATGTGTAATAGTTATTGAGTAATCGATTATTCAATATAAATTTTGTAATATGAAAAAGAATACAAACTAGATACTGGTACAAAAAAAGTAATTTGTATATATAATTTCATTTTGCACAAGACGTGCATCTTAATCTATTATAACATTAATCATAAAAAATAAATATCAATTTATAAAAATTTAAAAACCAATGTAGCGTGGATGCTAATCAATCTCAAGTACATATTTAAAAAAAAAAGATAGTATATTTTTAGGGTCGGCTCTGAGATTTTGGAGACCAGTTATTATTTTTATGTACATTTTTTTTAAAAAAGTTTATATTTATATAATTTTCTTCTAAATTTTTGAGGTTTATAACGAATGTTTTACTTAGCATACTCAAGGACCGGCCCGTATATTTCATCCCAAACAATCTTTAGACAATCCCTTATATATTAAAAGAGAAGCATTTTGCATTAAATGTTTTCACACCACCTTCTGACAATTTATTACCTTATTTACTACTTTCTCACAATTTATTACCTTATTTACTACCTTCTCACAATATATTACCTTATTTACTTCAATTATAAAACACACGAGATACTTTAAAACTACAAAGTTCAATATCGCGTGAGACAAGTTCGGAGACAAGTGAATTGGCTTGAGGGTCAATGTCAAAGTTCTGGAACGTCATTATTTGGGAGGTGGGACGTATCTAAGATGATGGATATGAAGGGCAACGTACCGGAGCCCATGAACGCGATCTTGGTTTGGACATGGATTGTGTGTAACGTGAAGAGATTGAACTCAACCTTGCTAAGTTTGAGGTAGTTAGTGTACTGAGGGTAGATCTACATGGTAAAGTGTGTTGTCTTCGAGAGATCCCAAGGCCGTATAGTAGTGGTGTTCTGAAAACTCTATATCTTCACTACGTAGGTTGGTGAGATTGGTTCTGTAGTTTTGGACTTTTGGACACAAGTTTTTAACGTCGATTTTTGTATCCATAGGAAAGGACGTGGACATGAGCTATTGAACAAATTGTCGACATATATATGTGAAAGGTTTAAGGGCTCTTGAGATTGGAGATTTTGTTATACAAGTTGAGAATTTGCTTCTCGAAATGAGCCTTTTCGCAACCCATCTCGAGACTAAAAGGAGATTTGGGATTGTCTCAATACTCTTAATGGTGTTGACAGTAATATACTTTCATCTTACGTGTTTCCATGTCGCGTGGATGACAAAAAAAAACATATATATGAGACAAAATCGCAATTTAACCAAAAAGACAATATTTATAATATAGATATATAATTGGACGATATTAAAATCCGAAACCACCAATCCAAAACAAACTAATATGCAAATAAAACAGATATAATGTCTTCTTATCTTAAAAAATACAACAAATTTAATCATTTCATCCCGCGCAAGGCGCGGGTCTAATCCTAGTGAATAGATAATTGGTAAGCTTCTCAATTTTTTTTTTTTTTCTTATTTTAGAACTTTATTCCCAAAACCTTTGACCAGAGCTGTTTTTCTATTGATTCATTATGTCAATGATTAGACATATCTCGCAAATCTCTGACAGAACATTTTAGTTTCATTTTCTGAACAAGTCTTACCAATGGATATCGACGCTTCAAAAGGAAAATTTGATTAAACAATCTTAATTATCAACGACTCAAGAACTTATATCATGTAAATTAGACTTTAACCTCAATTCCCAGAAACTTCCATGATTAGTATCAAGAAACTCAAACCCATGATCGATCATTTTGAAGTAATCTCAAAGAAACAGAGCAACCAAAACTGAGCATAAATCATGTCTTCTTGTTTCAAATCCTCTGTTTCTCTGATCTCAGTGTTCTTCTTTATGATCTTAAACACAGCTTCTTCTGCAACAGATCCAACTTATCTCTTCCACATATGTCCAAACACAACAACATTCACAAGAAACAGCACTTACTTAACCAATCTCCGAACCGTTCTCTCATCTCTCTCCTCTCCAAACGCAGCTTACGCCTCACGTTTTGATAACGCAACCGCTGGTGAAGATAACAACAAAGTCTACGGCGTTTTCCTCTGCCGCGGAGACGTCTCAGCCGAGATTTGCGGTGATTGCGTCGCGTTCGCGGCCAACGAAACGCTCCACAGGTGTCCAAGAGAGAAGGAGACAGTGATCTGGTACGACGAGTGTATGTTAAGATACTCTAATCAAAGTATCGTAGGTAAAATGAGGGTTAGGCCTGCTGCTTTCTTGTATAACAAGCAAAACATTACAGAGAGCCAACTTAGCCGTTTCAATGAGTCTTTAGCTTCTTTGTTGATCGATGCTTCGGTGAAGGCGGCTTCGAGCTCGACAAAGTTTGCAACGGAGAAAGCGAACTTCACGGTTTTTCAGACCATTTATAGCCTTGTGCAGTGCACGCCGGACTTGACCAATCTTGATTGTGAAAGCTGTTTGAGACAAACTATTAACTGGCTGCCTAGATGTTGTGATCGAAGAATTGGCGGGAGAGTAATCGCTTCGAGTTGTAGCTTTAGATATGAGCTTTATCCGTTTTACAATGAGACTATTACTGCGGCTGCGCCGCCACCTAGTGTGTCTGCTCCACCGCCGCAGCTTTCTCCCCCTCCTCCAGGTGAAATCTTGAAATGTTTAGAACACAAAATCTTGATACTGTATGAACATATAAACATAGTTTTATAAACTAATGTGCACAAAGTCAGGAAGCGGTCCTCAGATTTTGGGAAGTCAGGGGCGATCCTGAGATTTTGAGGTTATAAGAGCACCTCCAATAGGGGGTTCTTACAGCGGGTTGTTAGCGGAATATAAAAAACCGTCTCTTAACTTTTAGTTCTTAGCTTTTTTAGTTAAAAGTTAAGAGACGGGTTCTTATATTCGTTAAAAATCCCGCCGTAAGAACCCCTCACTAGAGATGGTCTAAACATTTTAGTAAGAGAATTGATATAAAGTCTATTTCTATATAAGTTACTTTTTATTTTTCTTGAGCAGTAGACCAATATTTCACTTGACTATGATCAAGACCGCCCTGCTACTTTGATTGCGCAGAAGGTTGTTGTGTTTCATATCTTTTTGATATATATGTTTAGGGAAAGGCAAGGGCTCAACGGTGATAGTAACCGCGGTGGCTGTACCGGTCTCTGTCTGCTTGTTACTTTTTGGGGCTGCATGTTGTTTACTTGCAAGAAGAAGAAGAAAGAATAAGCTCAGTGCTGAAGCAGAGGATCTAGGTAAGGTTTTGAGCCAGTCGTGTGATTAGCTAGTCTAGTTTATTGAATCTTTCTTGAGATTTTCCTCCTTTTTTCAATGTAGATGAAGATGGTATAACATCAACAGAAACATTACACTTCCAGTTTAGCGAAATCGAAGCAGCAACAGATAAGTTTTCAGACAGTAACAAGCTTGGTCATGGCGGGTTTGGTGAAGTGTACAAGGTAACTAAATCTTGTGATCATAACTCAACAAAACTCATAAAGATACTTTTGTGTAAAAGTTCACAGTAAAAAAAACTATTCAGGGAGAGCTTATAACCGGTGAAACAGTAGCCATAAAGAGACTATCTCGAGG